ATCATTTATGAGACATATACAATGTTGGGGTGATTATTCTTCTATCGGATCAAATATATGACTTGTACAATGTTGGAGTGATCTCTCTCCTTTCTGATCATTGAAAGGATGTGTACAAAATCAGGGTGATATCTCTTCTTTGTATAATGTTGTGATTTATTTTCTCTTCTTTATATCATATTTATAAAAAATTGGGGCAATCTTTCTTCTTTCTGATCATTTATGTGGTTTGTACAATGTCAGGGTGATCTCTCTTCCCTCTAATCATTTATGTGACTTGTACAGTGTTGGGTTGATCTCTTTTCTATCTGCTCCTTCTATCTGATCATTAATATGACTTTTAGATTGTCAGGTTGATCTCTCTTCTATATGATCTTTAATGTGACTTGCACAATGTTAGGTTGGTCTCTTTTCAATCTGATCAGTTATATTATTTGTACAATGCCAGGTGATTGTTCTCCTTTCTGATTATTTATGTAATTTCTGCAATGTTGAGTTGATCTCTCTTTGCTGCTCATTTATATGACTTGTGCAATGTGAGGGCAATCTCTTTTCTGTCTGATGTTTTGTATGAATTTTATAAATATTGGGGAGATTGTTCTTCTATATGATCATTTATTTGACTTGTACAAGGTTGGGCCTCTTCTTTGATCATGTATATAACTTGTAAAATGCTGAGTTGATCTTTTTTCCCCTCATGATTTCTGACTTGTACAAAGTCAGGGTGATTTCTCTTCTCTCTGATCATTTGTATGACTTGTACAATATCAGAGTGATCACTTTGACAAGGCTGAGGACAATGCTGTCCCATTTTATTCTTCTTTTATCTCAGTGTTAGTTAAAATGGTCATCTGCATTTACAACATAATAAGGTTACACTTATAAATTTGTACATAAACACACAGCAGACAACAGAATATGAAACTTAAATCACTTTTATTGATATTGAATGATATATGCAGACAGAGAGTTATGTAAACGATTTACACATGGAGTAAAAAAACATAATATTTCTTATTACATTGTAACTGAGATAGCAGAACTGTCCAATAACACAGTATTGAACTCCCATGTAATATACAAACTGAAAATGTTGTAACAAGAGTAAATATGACTACCCAAAAAAGCTTAAATATGGTCTCAGACTGCCTGGTTCCCACCTTTGTGAAAGAAGAAAAGAAGACCGTTGCTACATTTGAAACAGAATTAGCAAAATTATCATTCTGGATTATTTATCCCAAGTTTTCAAGACAGAAAGATAGGTGCAGCATAATCATACAAATCTGTTTAACAGTGGAGGAGTTTAACAATGTTTCTCCTGATGTGATAAAAAGATAACTTTGAGTTAGGTGCATATTTTCAAGTAAAGTTTTACACACGAAAATGTAATCTACATCAAATGTTTCCAAAAGCCCAAGAAGCATCTGCCTTGATATGAAAATAACTCAACTCTTTTCATGTATAATAAGTACACGATTGTGATTTAATAATGCAATCAATATGCTAGAAACCTAATGAATGAACTGAAATGCTACAAGGTGTAAATGCTGAGTTTTTTTATTTTTATCAGCTGTTGGTCATCATTACCTATAAACAAGCACAACCTCATCACTGCTAAGTATTATTTGTGCCCACTCCTTGATCTGGACACAGATCTTCTTTAAACAAAGATTGAGAGAAGTCAGTAATAAATATCAAATACCACTTTTTAGTGTCCTTGAGTGATTTAAAACGTGTAGGTTCTATGGGAAAACCATTTTGGTTATGTTGTATCACTCATCTTATTTGTACCCAGAAGTTAATATCATTAGGCATTGACTTGACTTGAGAAAATGTTGAGCTCTGGAAAACAGGAGGGTGTGATGTCTATGCATTGCTAAGCATTTGTTACTATGCAAGGCTTATTTTTATAAATTCTGCCTAACACTGTTGACTTGGGCACCAGTAATCCACATCCCTACATTCACGACATGGTAACACTAAAATTAAAGTAAATATTTATACTCAATTAAAGTCCCACTCCATCCAAAATCATTAACTCATTAGTGGACACTGGTCTGCGGAATCAACCAGTAGAATTTGATACTATTAGGGTACTTCAGTCGAGGAACATTCCTGCTGAAACGGTATATTTTTTCCTCTCCTGGATCCAATCTGAATAAAAAGCTTAAAGTAACCTACCATAATATTAGGCGTATCACATTGACTATGTCATTAAAATAGCATAAGAAGACTACTAAATCCAGAGAATATAGACAGCCAAATTATCTGCAAATCCTGGCTTTTCATGAAAGAATTACATTTGACCCTGGCCTTGCTATATCCTAAGGGGTTGGTTTATTATAAGCAAATAGCTTTGCCAGGGAATTTTCCTAAAGCCTAGTGAATGCAGTGAAATTTTACTTTGTAAAGAATACCCAATCACATGCAAGGAAAACAACACATTTTTGCTTGTACATGATTTGGATTATGGACATCAGTAGAACTTCACCTCATTCACTAAGCTCTTCAGAAAATCCTCTTGCAATGTGAACAGTCAATTTGATTTTAGTAAATCAACCCTTTAAATCTCTATATGGGTTATTGACATTACTCATTTCATTAAAAGACTAATATGAACACTCAAAGTCACAAAGGGAAATGTGAAGCTTGACTTTTAAGAGGAGAAGGCAATTTGAGTATACCTTCAACTTCCCATACCTATATTTATTTATTTATTTCAGGTACTTATATAGCACCATCAATTTACACAGCACTTTACATATATATTGTACATTCACATCAGTCCTTAACCCTCAAGGGGTGTACAATCTAAGGTCCCTAACTTACATTCATACATATACTAGGGCCAAGTTAGACAGGATCCAATTAACCTACCAGCATGTCTTTGGAGTGTGGGAGAAAACTGGAGTACCCAGAGGAAACCCACACAGGCACAGGGACAACATGCAAACTCCAGGCAGGTGGTGCCATGGCGGGGATTCAAACCAACGACCCTAGTGCTGCCAGGCAGATGTGCTAACCATTTAGCCACTGTGCTGCCCATGCGGCTGAAGGTAAGCTCTGGTTATCTATTTTTGCTGCTTTATAATCTAAGATTTTTGACAATTTTACTTATAAAGTAAGGGAGAATCCAGCAGAGACAGTAACATATTGCAATGGTCACCACTAATAGCATGATGTGGGAACTTTGACACGAGGTCTTGACATTTTAGCTGTTCATACCAAACAGCTAAAAAAGAGGCAATGGATGAATGAAAACACTAACAAACATCCTTAGTTAAAGTAGAACTATAGTCAAAACTTTTTTTTTTCCATGTTGGATAGAGCGAGAGAGGGTTATAACCCCTGTCAGATTTTCTTTTTTTTGCCATCTGTGTCACATTGCGGAGATTTCTCCATTTCCCACATGAACTGTGGGGAAATGCCTGCAAATTAAGGGAATTCCTTGAGAACCTCCAGGTCACCAGAACTAGTGTCCCCATTGGAAGATTTACCCTCTAATACTTTTCTGGGGACAACCCAAAATTTGAGATTTTCTTTTACTTTCAATGATAATGATAAACAGGACAAACAGAGAGGGTGAATTTCCTTAACAGGGGCACAGACAGCAATAAAAACTGAGAAGTGTTCTAATCCCTCTGCACTCACGCTCTGACCAAAATTTAAAAAAACATTTGCCTTTAGTTATACTTTAAATATAATTTTGATGTCTCCTGTAATGTCCCACCTAAACTAATTTTATATACTGTAGATATAAAATATAGTGAAACTTCCCTCACAGTGATAGAGACAAGTAATACAATTAAAGCCTTTACACCCTCTGCTATGGTGTTTGGCTGTTGACTTTAAAATCTATCCACTATAAATTCTGTATTTATCAAATACACTGCTTTTCTGTAACTGTATTTATTTATGCATATTAAAAATACAAGTGGTATCTAAATAAATATGACTAAATATAATTTAAAAGCAAAGGGTTGATACAGTACATTACGTAAAGCTACATATAAATCTCCTGTGTAACAAGTTTTAGAGCTCCTGTTTTGTAATTCTGAGTAGGCTATAAATTATTTCACTCATCCTTTTTTAATACAAGTAGACATCAAACAACATACAGAACTGGTTCTGACTGTGGTGCATACATTGTTGCAAGTGGTCTTATGAGAAGGCACCGTAGGTTATGATAGGCTTACTTTCCTACAGTAAAGTGGATTTCCAAACATTTCCAAAAAGTAAATTGTCCTAGCAGACTGTTAGTTTGTTAAATACTAGTACACAGAGATTTGTCATTGCCACCATCCCTGCTGCCACAGCAAGTGGGACTCACTGGGAAAAAACATCTGAGCCATGGGCAGCTTAAGATGTCAAATAGATCTAAGCAAATATGGCTACTCACAGGGGCAGTGTAATTTCTGAATGTCAGTATTCATAAAAGAAACTCCACTGACTTCTGAAACAACTGTATATCTCAAAGTGGTTGTAAACCCTCACATATACCCAGTAAAGTGACTGGCCTCAGGTGATACACAGAAGTAAAAACAAATCCTCCTTCATACGTTGTACCTGTTTATCTGCAGTATTTTCTTCTTTACATCCATTCAAAGTACAAAAAAATATACAATCTTGTCTGAGTTTTCAGAAAGTTACACTCTGCAGAGCTCAGTGAGAGCTGATTGGAGGGAAAGGACACACTCCCCTTCACACAGCTTATTGACACTGTCAATCACAGGCTGTATGCTGATGCTCCCTGCCCTGTCACCTTTTTACCTCTTGGTGTCAGGGAAACTTGTATATTTTTAAAAGACTTCTCTATAGTGTTCAGAGAAATTTAAACAAAAAGCCTCATGCCCTTCCGTGTGAACAAAACAATGTATGTGCATGCTCAGTATATACTGTAAATAGTTGTGTAACAAAAAAAATCAGCTTAAAGTGGAAGTTTAGGTATGGCAATTTTTACATAGTTACATTGATCCAGCTTGCCAAAAGTATTGAGACACCCCTCCAAATGATTGGATTCAGGTGTTCCAATCACCTCCATGACCACAGGTGTATAAAATCAAGCAACTAGGCATGCAGACTGCTTCTACAAACATTTGTGAAAGAATGGGTCGCTCTCAGGAGCTCAGTGAATTCAAGTGCGGTACCATGGTAGGTTGCCACCTGTACAATAAGTCCATCCCTGAAATGTCCTTGCTACTAAATATTTCACAGTCAACTGTTAGTGGTATTACAACAAAGAGAAAGCAACTGGGAACAACAGCAACTCAGCCACAAAGTGGTAGGCCACAGAAAATGACAGAGAGGGGTTATCGTATGCTGAAGCGCACAGTGAGCAGAAGTCACCAACTGTCTGTAAAGTCAATAGCTAAAGACCTACAAACTTTATGTGTCCTTCAGATTAGCACAACAGTGCATAGAGAGCTTCATAGAATGGGTTTTCATGGCTGAGCAGCTGCATCCAAGCCTTACAATACCAAGTGCAATGCAAAGCGTCAGATGCAGTGGTGTAAAGCACACCGCCACTGGACTCTAGAGCAGTGGAGACGTGTTTTCTGGAGTGACAAATCACCCTTCTCTGTTTGGCAATCTGAAGGATGTGTCTGGGTTTTGCAGTTGCCAGGAAAACAATACTTGCCTGACCGCATTGTGCCAAGTGTAAAGTTTGGTGGAAGGGGGATTATGGTGTGGGGTTGTTTTTCAGGGGTTGGGCTTGGCCCCGTAACTCCAGTGAAGGGAACTCTTAAGGCGTCAGCATACCAAGACATTTTGGACAATTTCATGCTCCCAGCCTTTTTGGGAACAGTTTGGGGATGGCCCCATCCTGTTCCAACATTACTGTGCACTAGTGGACAAAGCAAGGTCCATAAAGACATGGATGAGGGAGTCTGGAGTGGAGGAACTTGACTGGCCTGCACAGAGTCCTGACCTTTAGGATGAACACCTTTAGGATGTATGGAGATTGCGAGCCAGGCCTTCTTGTCCGACACTAGTGCCTGACCTCACAAATGCGATCCCAGAAGAGTTGAAGCTGTTATAGCTGCACAGGGTGGGCCAACTCAATACTAAACCCTTTGGACTAATACTGGGATGCCATTAAAGTTCATAGTGCATGTAAAGACAGGCTTTCCAATACTTTTGGCAATATAGTGTGAGTATATATATCTATATATATGTATATATATCTATATATATATAGATATATATACCAAACCTGTGGGTTCCCCATGGAAGCTGGAAATCACTGTGGTAGGCACTGCTACTACAGTGATCTCCACTACTTTCTGGGTACTGTAAAGAGTTGCTGCCCTGCTTCTTAGTGAACACAGGAGGTCGCTTGCTTGGTGTGGGCAACATTCAAGGAACACTTTGAATTATCTCAATAAATGTTATCTAATTATACAAGTTGGAGAGGCATGGTGCTGATGTCACAGTCTCTACCTTGTCTGAGCAATTGTTATGCTTGTTTTGTTCAGTTGCACTGGAATTTTGTCTTTTTATCCTGCAGTTGTATTACTTGTATAGTTCTACAATCAAGGCCAGTTTTCTGCATAGACAATTTAGGCTGTGTCCTAGGGCTGCCAGGGAAGGCACACAGACACCCCCATGATGCTGCCTGTCATTCTGGGTCCATGCTGAAACAACTAAACTGAAAGCAGATTAGGACAAGTTTGTCCTTTTCTTTCAGCCATGGGCTCTAGATGTACTGGAGCTAATTGGTCATACAGTCTTTTCAAGGCTCTGGTCTCAGAAGGGTATGATGGCTGAACTTGGTAGTGTACTGCTAAGCCAATTTAGAAGAAGGGTGGTACTAGACAGTCTGGATGGAGAGTCAGGAAGAACAAAATCTCTGCTTATAAGATTGGGTCCACTGTGTGAGACATGATTGCTCCTTAACTCCATTACCGGCTGATCAGGAAAATCAGGACCCTGGAAAGCATTCAGTTTTGTTTAAGCCTTACTGCCACTTATTTGTAGTTACTTGTAAGGAGAGACAGTACAGTAAACTGCCTGTTTGTGAAAAACAAATAAGAAACAGTTTTTTTTTAATTTTGGAATTTCCCTGTAATGTCTGAGGAAAATATTTGGATTTTAGATTTACAGAAATGGCTTATAACAATAATGGTTACAGGACTTGTATAGTAGTTTAGTGCAGTGAACAAAGGTGTGCTGCATGCCACATTGACCAAAGGAAATGACATTGTACAATGTACCCTAGATCAGTGACAAACTCTGCTTTGTTTGGGTACAGCTTACATCTTGACCTATTGCAGTATGCTTAATAAGGACCCATATGTTACTTTAGTTGCTTTGTGAGCTGCTTGTACTGTTACATCGAGTGTAATTGTTCTTCATGCTAAATGGACTCATTAAAGTAGGATCAATGGTCATTAGAAAATAAGGGATTCATAGAATGGAAACCATGTGTTTGAGGCTACAGTAATTAACCTATAAATCAAGGCTATCTATTTAGATAATGCATAAGAAGCAATAAACCAAACTGTTGCCATACAATTTATTTTATGGCAATTTGGCAAATGATCACCCTTATTTTATACTTCATTTTAATAATATCAGGAATTATTTTATAGAAGTCAGTTTATCTGGTTTGTTGCATCTGCTTTTTACCATTATAACTATATTGCACAAAGTAGCATGACAACAGATACATACAATTGTAACTCTTCCATACATCTAAGTAAGGAGTGCAAAGCCTTTGTAGAAGCTCTCTGTTAGCATCCTCTGAACCAGGATGCTCATTTAACTAGTAAATGATGTGCTGAGTGCTGACCATTAAGCAATGAACATCATAATTACCATGGTAACCAAATCTCCAACACATTTAACAAACCTTTGCTGGAAAAGGCTCATATATATGACCCAGTTGCAATCTCCAGTATTCTGTATGCTATTTAATGTGTCAGGATGAGTGCATTTAAGGCCATAAAACCCTTTGATAATATATTATATAGCTTTATTAGGCTATACTTTAATACAAAAATATCTTCAGTATAAATCTGTATAGCAGATATAAAGCTCTTTATAAAGCTGTCGATACAAACATACACAGTTAATAAAAAACATACATTTTCCTTAAGAATGATGAAATTAATGACATAAATCAAAATTCAAAGTGCTATCTTTTACATTGTGGAATCAATGCCATAACATGTAAGTACATGCTTAAAAATATACATATTACACATTATATAATTTTAATATTTGTAGCTTGGTGACTAAATGCTGCAAAACACAATGGCTAATATCATAATGCTTAACCATTAATAATTATCAGCACCATTTCTTAAGTGCCAGCAATATATATCAAATCTCCCATGTTAAATGGTACTCAGTCCTATATAGCTTATATTGTAGTTACAGTGTATGGTCCACTTTGGTCACTAAATTCTTCAAACCCACAATACAATGCCAGTGATCCTTTTCAGGACTAGTAAGTCTAAAATACAAGCTTCCTTAAAGTAAATTTGTTTGCAGAGATACATGGAGGCCACCATAGCTCTATCAGAACCAGTGATTGCTTATTTATCATATTGGTCATCTGATCTCAACACTTTGAGTCACTGTCGAGGAACAAGTATGCAGATAAGGATTTTTTACTTCTTTGGCTTTCTTGATCTGCAAACACATTCTATGACATTGATTCGGTGAACATTAAAGCCAATGGGTTTACAAAGTGGCCAGGCAACTACCATTTCCAGATGGGGATAAGCAATGACAGATTCCTATTTCTTATTTCTTTCATTTAAAATGTACTTTAGGCAGAAGGGTTAGTAGTACAAAAATAAACCTATGTAGAAACCCTCATGCATGTAATTAATTTTAGATATTATATTTCTATGTTATATACCAATTTTGGATCAAGGAGGTTTGTCAATGGCATTTGACAGTATTCAATATTAAACCACTGGACAGTACGTCTTTTGAGAAAATACTTTCCTATGGTGCCACCCTTACCATGTATTTCTGTTTATTGGTAAACTTGTGTTTAATGTCCATTAACATAAAGTCTTCAATATAAAGTTGTATTTTAGGATTACTGTCCTTTTATCTGAGAACATAATTAGTAAATTCATTACATTGCATTAGTAAACCCCTACCATTCATAAACCCCCAAAGGTGCAGCATCTACTGGAAATAATTCAGTTTTAGGAGTTCATGAGTTTTACGGAGATGGGGGTGAGAAGCTAACACAGCATGGGAAAGGTACACTAAAACACCCTAAAATGTGCTTAAGGCATGCTAAACTGGCATCTGAAATAATAATACTGTATGTCTATTCAGTATGCCTTAAAGTCTGCTTAGCACATTTAGGTGCCAATACATTTGATAAAATGGACTTAAAAGACTTAAACCCATTTTTTTTTACCACAAATAGTCTACATTTTGTTTCCACTACACCTTCCTGAGGTTATTATATTGCTTCACCTACTTGGCAGGTATTCGTAACTGTAACTAGCTGTGCGCTTTATGGATGCTATGTCCCAAATTATAAGGTGATATGCAACCCCCAATGTGCATAACAACAATTCAGCTTAATGTAAAATGCCCAGTGAGCATCAATAATGTGTGGAATGCTATAAGTAGTGAAGTGGTTCTAAAGCTACAAGTTTTTTTTTACCTTAATGCATTCTATGCTTTAAGGCTATAAACCTTCTGCAAGCAGCCCCCCCAGCCCCGCTTATACTTACCTGAGCCCAATCTCAATCCAGCGATGTGCATGAGAGCAGTGGCTCTTTGAGCTCTGTCTCCTCATTGGCAGCAGCAGAGGCAGCAGCAGGAGCCATTGGCTCCCAACTGCTGTCAATCTCAGCCAGTAAGGAGGGAGAGTGGAGTTGTGCTGAGCCACGCTCTGTGTGTCAATGGACACAGAGAGCTTGGCTTGGGATCAAGGTTAGCTATGGGTTTGCTATGAGGGCACTTGGCAGGGGGGAGGAGCCAAGAGTGCCAGCGGGGTAACCGAGAAAGGACGATCAGGGCTGCTCTGTGCAAAACAATTACACGGAGTAGGTAAATATAACATGTTATTTATTTATTTACTTTTTTACGTTTTACGTTTAAGGCAAGGTAGTATTGTACATTTTAAAGAGAGATCAATCCTATGTTTATCCATAAAACACACATTTTTCATTTAAATTGCAACTTGTAAGAGCCATGGCATCCTTGTTTATGAGGTATGCGCTATCATTTTTTACCAATTTTTTTTTTCTTAATCATTTTAAAAAATAAAGTTCTTAGTCAAAGGCTATTTGAAAGTGGATCAAAAAAACATCTTTGATAAGATGTGATTAAATGATATACTGTATGCATTGCTGAGACATCAATGTTCAAATATTTCA